TTTAATATTAATGAGTGTAAAAACAACATATGGTGACATAAGAAAATTTGTTAATCAAATAAATTCTTGTTCTACAATCGAAAAAGAGCATGAGGTTGTTCAAAAAGAACTTGCAAAAATAAGAAATGAATTTTCAAATCCAAAGATAACCGCTCATGATAGAATGATTAATTCATATAAATTAGTTTTTATCAATACATTAGGGTATGAAGTAGATTATGGAATGGTTGAAGTTATTACATCATTAGCTAATTCAAAATTTATTTATAAACATGCTGGATATCTAACATTTTTAACTTGTTATAGAAATGTTCCTGGAGCATGCAGTTTATTAATTAACACAATGCAACACGATCTTCAAAACACCAAGAATGAAGTAATTTGTGAAACACTATCAACTCTAGCTGTTATTTCAGATGCACAAATAGCAGAAGTAGTTGGACAAACTGTCATGAATTTAGCTTTTAATAATGATGAAGCGACAGTTAGAAAGAAAGCATTATTAGTTTTAAAACAAATGTTTAAATTCTTTCCTAGTTTAATTAATCTTGAACCTCAATTTATTAAAAAAGTTGAGTTATTAATTCAAAAAGAATATGACTTAGGAGTTATTCAATCATTATGTAAGTTATTGTATGAAGTTATTCTTAAAGACAAAAATAATGGAGTTGATTTAAAAAAATATCAATGTTTATCATTAAGTTTAGTTCAAATTTTTAAAGGGTTATTAACAGAACCTAATTCTGAAATAACATATCACGGAGTATGTATGCCATGGTTAGTTATTATTTTAATTAAATTAATTCCTTTAATTTGCATAGAAAAAAGAGAAATAATTTCATTTCAGTCATTATGTGAAGAATTTTTACAAATTGGATTTACTGACTTTCTTTTTGGAATACCTTCAAGTCAAAGAGACATTACATTTTCTATTGAAATAGAAATAATAAAATATTCATTTGAATTTGAAGTAAAAAGATTAGCAAACATATCAATTTCATTATTAGGAAAATTACTTGAAGTGAATGATATTAATATTAATTATCTAACCCTTGACTTATTAATTGTTGCATGTCAAAATGGATTTAAAGAATCTACTAAGAAATTATTTGCAAAAGTAATATTATTAGGTAATAGTTTTGACATTGAACTAAAGAAAAGAGTAATTGATACATTATTCAGTATGTGTGATAGTTCAAATGTTATAAACATTTGTCAAGTATATAACGAAATGATTAATAATGAAGATTTAATAGAATTAAAAGAAGATTTAATATTTAAATTATGTATTTTAGCAGAGAAATATTTAAAAGGAAAAGAATATGTTGATATTATGATGAGTGTTGCATTTAATGGAGGCAATTATATTTCATTTGAGTTATGGAATAGAACATTAAAAAAACTTCATGGTGATCAAGAAGCTACTAAATATTGTATTTTCTTAATAGAAAAATTTATTAAAAAGAGTTTTGGAAGTGATGATTTTATTGAACTTTGTTGTTTAATACTTGGAGAATATGGAGAGTATTGTGAAGATATCTTATCATTAACACAAGCCCTTATTTTAAAATTTAGATTTATTAAAGATTCTACAAAAATTAGAATAATTACTGCTTTAATGAAATTATTAAAGAAATTTAATTCTATAAAAGACCTTCTTATGAATATTTGTATACAATACCAATACTCAAATAATTGTGAATTACAACAAAGAGTTAAGGAATGTTTATATCTTATTGAGCACCCTTCTATTATTCCTATTGTTATTGATTCTTTGGTTTATAAAGATACAACTGAAGAAGAATTAAAAACTGTAGAAGATAAAGAAAGTATTGATGAAGTAAAAGGAACACCATCTCTTAAAAAAGTGTCAACAATTGAAAACGTTGATAGACCTAATGTTATAAAGAAACAATTTAAATTTAATTTCTATCATTCTTTAAATCCAAATGGGTTATATGAAAAAGTAGAAATAATTTATAGAAAAATAATGAGTCTTAATGAAGGTATTATTTTTCAAGACCAAAATATTCAAATTGGTTATAGAAGTAAAGTTATTGATAATGTTGTTGGTATTCAATTATTCTATGGTAATATATCTCCATTTCCTATTACTGTAAATATCCATATTATTGTCCCAGATGGTTTAACTTCTTCTCTTCAACAAGACAAATTAACAATTGAGTCTCATCAACAAATAAACCATATTATTCAATTTAAATTAAATGCCACCTTCCTTGAACCACCACAACTTCAGCTTGATTATCATTTTAATTCTACTTCAGCCAGTGTTTCATTACCTTTACCAATTACTCTCCTTAAATTTTTTAAACAATCAACTCTAATGACATTCTCTTCATTACCAGAACAAACAACAATACCTTGTTTATTAAATATTGGTCAGTTTCAATCGTTATGTTCTCGTTATAATTTGGTCTTTCAATCAAATGATCAGGTAGTAGAAACACATAGCATTATTCCTTCATTAGGAGAAATTAAAATCCAGTTAAAATTTAATTCAAAAGAATTATCTGTATTATCATCAAATGAACAAATGAATTTAGATATTATTGCATTGATTTTATATTCATTACAATAATTTATATATTCCATTTCTGACAATAACCAATATCAAATTATTCAATTAATAATCTCTTTTGAGGTTCATTTTTATTTAAAAAGATTTCATCAACATTAAAAAAATATTTGTTTTTATATTGTGAGATAAACTCTATTTGATCATTCTTTGATGTACATTTTTTCAATTCAGGAGATGAACATAATAAATCAAACATTATTTGTCTATATATTGGAGGAACACAATCTAAATTAAATATTGTATTTGGTGGATCATTATCGTCAATACCCTCTTTTATTCCATCTATAATAACAAAGTTTGATGGTTTGAAAGTGAATTGATCAATTTGTTTTTTTAATACACGATAATCAATAGCTTTTAATTTACGTAATTCATACCATTCATAAAGAAGGGTATTTAAGAGTGTGGGTGTTAGACAATATCTAATTTCATTTTCTATTGCCTGAGTTGTCAAACTTTGATTTTTGAATAAGATTAGTTCAAGTACTTTATTAAAAATGATGTTAATTGGAATAATTGGATATACAGCATCTTCTATATAAATTATATTTATCATATCACCTCCAGGAATTGTTTTTAATTTCATTAATATTTGTTGATCAGAAAATATAAATTTATAATACTGATGTACTGCAAAATAAATTTTTTTTGGTGGATATGTTGTTATTAAAATACCTCGAATTATTTCTATAATCCAATTAATCATTTCTGAATTGGAAATACCATTTTCATTAATTAATGGTCTTAAGAGTGTTCCATCTTCTCTTATTGCAAAAAGATGTCTTTGAATAATATTTTCTCTCTGAACAAAGAAGATATGGTCAGTACTATCATTTTTAACAATTATTCTTGATTGCTGAAGTGCGTCTGATAAATATTCAAAAGAGTCAATAAAAATAACTTGTTCTTTAGTTGTTTCATTTATCTCTAATAATCCAGAAGCTAAATCAGTTAATTGAATTGAATCTATACATATTTGATGTGGATATTTCCATACTTTTTTAATTGGTAAATTCAAAATAGAAAGTGATTCAGAGAGAATATTTTCTGTAATACAATTTTTCATTTTAAATTGTTCAACATCAATTATTTCATTAAGTTCTAATTCTTGATTAATATTAACCAAAACATTCTTTATTTGTGGAGTTATATTGTTATAATTTATTAATGAAGAGGAATGACTATATTGACCAATTGATGATCTTAATGAATCATTTATTAAATTATTATATTGAGTAAATTCTTCTTTATTTAAATTAAATAATAAATCAGATAATAATGAATTTGTTGATTTTAATTTCTCAATAATAGATTTTAAAAATTCATAATTCCTTACTAATTGATTAACTCTATTATTTAAATTTTTTTCTACTCTCTTTCGTTGTTGAATTTCTTGAGTTTGATTAATAATATTAAGATTTTCTTTTAAAGTTTTAATGCATTGACTAATTATTGGAGATAATAAAGATAATTTAGAACATTGTGAATCATTAAAGAATATAATATCATATTTATCTGTTGAAGATTCTGTGAAAAATTGTTTGAAATATTCATGCATATATATTATGGCTTTTGAGTACCATTTTAATTCATTTAATTTCTTTGTTATATATACTTTAATATCCTCAAACCAGTTAATGAATTGCTTTGAGGTATAATAAAGATTTCTTCCTTGTGAAGTAAGTTCACTATTAACAGAAGTGTCATTAATTTTAATATTTTTAAAATATGTTTGTATTTCAGTGTTATTATCAGATTTACTCAACACACGAAGAATTTTAATAAATGAACAATCATTAGAAACACAAATAATAGAAGGTGATACTTTTATTGATCTTCCAAAATGAAGATTTTGAGGCGTTTCTCCTTTAAAATAACAATTTATTTTGCCTTTTAATTGAATAAGTTGATATCCAATTTCTTCTATTGTTAAGACTAATTGAGGTGGTGTATTTTTAATTTGCTTTTTCATGTCATCAATAAAATTATAATTTAATGGAATACTTTCATTCTCTACTCCAAAAGGAATACTACGTTCAGTATATCCTGCCCCTTTTAACATATTAATAGTTAGTAATTTTGGTGTTATTCTATTTACATTAAAAAGATCCTCAAGAGCACTAAGAGTAGGAAAAGAATTAGTATTAATAAGTATTCGATAAATGTCATCTAAATATTTTATTTCTTCAACAGATAATTCTGTAATTGACTTCCTTAAAGTAGGGTATTTTTCTTTTTTATTTTCGTCTTCAGTGAAAAGAGGTTTAAGATGAGAATCATAGTTAGTTCCATACATAAAATAATTATTTGAATTAATAGATTCATATTTTATAAATATTTACATTACCTCATTCAATGAAAAATAAAAATTGTATTTCAAATTTATTGTATTGTTAATAACATAAACTAATTTTATAATTAACAAAAATAAGTGTTTTATGGATGGGAAAGACGTTCAAACAGCCAATTATTCCAATTTTTCAGTAAAATACTTTTTTCTTTTATTTCATCATACAACTCAGTAATACTTAAGTCATTACTAACTTTAGTATTAAGTGCAAGTTTAATAGCTAATGCAATACTTATAAATAAAGATTTACGATCATCTTCATCAAGCACACCAAATAGTTCAACATTCTTTTTAAATTCAGCAATAGTTTTTTGGCTTTCCTCTTCAACTTTAATTCTATTTTGTTTTTCTACTTCTAAGCTATGTAAAATATCTTCTTTTTCTTTTTGAAGATTAGACATTTGATTTTCTAAGTCTTTTATCAGCTCATCAGCTTTTTGTTGTTTTAATATAAATGATTGAATCTCATCTTTTAATTGAGTTACTTCAGTTTGTAAATCAACTAATTGATGTTCTCTATCATTATCATCACTTTTATAATGTTCTAATTCATATTTCATATCTTCAACTTCTTTTTTACTATCTTCAACTTCTTTTTTATTGTTTTCAATTTCTTGTTGTAATGTTGAAACTAATTTTTCCAATTCTATGTTTTTATCATTTAGAGATTGAATTTCTTTATTACATTTACTAATTTGCTCATTTAATTTATTATTTATTTCTTTTTCTTGATTTAAATTAATTTGTATTTCTTCTAATTCTTTTTGAGAATCTTTTAATTTTTCTTCTAACTCTGAAATTTTGGTACTATTTTCTGTTTGAGTTTTATTGAGAAGAGTTTGTATTTCTTGGATATTTAATGTTAGTTCTTTAATTTCTTTTTTATTATTTTCATTTTCTGTTTTTAATTCTTCATTTTCGTTTTTTAATTGTTTTATTATTTCTTCTAATTCACTCTTTTCTTTTTTTATTATATTAATTTCCTCTTTTTCTCCTATTGTTGATGATTTTACTTGACTAAGTTCTTCAGTAATTTTATTATTTTCTTTTTTTAATTCTTCATTTTCTTTTTTAAGAAGTTCATTTGTTGATGTTAATTCTGCGTTATGCAGAATAAAAGCATTATTAGATTTTTTTAATGTTTCATTAATAAGACGTTCATCATTAACTTGTGTCTCACATCTATTTTGAATTGTGTTAATTCTTCCTTCCATAAAATTAATTTGTTCATCAAATGATTTTTTTGTTTGTTTTTTTTCTTGTTGGAGATTATCTATTGTTTTATTTAGTAAATTAATTTTATTTCCTTTTTCAGTGTTTTCATTTATTAATTTTTCTCGTTCTTCTTTTACACCTTTAAGTTCAATAAACATATTATGAAGTTTTTCATTTAAGTCTTCTTCTATTTTTTCTCTTTCATCTCTCATTTGTATATAACTCTTTTCTTTTTGAGTAATAGAATCATTTAATTCTCCTACTTTCTTTGTCATTTCAGCACATTCATTTTGTTTACTTTTAAGTGCTTTTTTTATTCTTTCATTCTCTTCTTTCATTCTTCTTAGTTCTAATTCTGTTTCTCCCATTTTGTTAAAGTTATCTCTTCTATTAGAAAATTCTTCAACCAACCCCTTCTCTCCTTCACTTTCTGTTTTAGCTTCATCTCCTTTCATATCTTCTAGATTTAATTCTTCATAATCTTCTAAGTCAAGTTTCTCTGAAAGACGTGACCCTGCCATTGTTAAATTCATTGTTTTTGGTCGAGCTCTTGTTGACCTACTTAATTGACTTGGTGATGAAACAGAAATAATATCATTTTGAAGAAATTTAATTTCTTCATCATCACGTATATTCTTATCATTGAGTACATAATAAACTAGGTACATTGTTAATACTTCATCATCTAAAAATCCACTAGCAACTAATGAAGGTTCCATAATAATTGGAATTCCAAGAAAATCCCTAGCAGCTGTAAAACAATAATTCATATTAGCTTTAGGGTCATTAGTAAATTCTTTTTCTAAGACACTATCAACTCTGAAATAATTAATTAACTTTTGCCAGAAATGTTCATCCATATATTCTTTTTCTACATAAACTTCTCTTCCAAAAATGTTTGATAACCATTTATTAAAATCATTTGGATGAAGGTTATGTTCTATTTAATTATTGCCTATTCTTTGTATAATCATTTTAATAAAAAGAAAGATCAAACCTTTGTAATGATATTTTCTAACTAAAGTGTTAAATAATTGTAATATTTGTTTTTTGTTTTGATCAAATATATCTTGTGCAACAATTCTTACATCAACCTTATTTCTTTTCATAAAACCAATTAATAATTCAATATTATCTCTTTCATGAATAACATCTTTTGGATTTTTATCATACTTTTTATCTAATGTCTTTCCTGTTAGTTTTTCCATTAACTTAATCAAAGCCAACCCACTACGTAAATCTATAAATATATCATTTACATGTGGTTCATCTTGATTTATAAAATTAAGCCAATCTTTATATGCTTTAGAATGTTGTTCTTGAACAACTTTTTGTATTTTTACTGAAGCAGATTTTCTAAGTCGTTGATGTTCAGAGAGCATTGTTTATTTGCCTCTTCAAGTTCTTTGATGAATTTTTTTTTTCTACTAAAGAACTTTATTATTTTATGTCTTCTCTTAAAAATTCTTCTTCATTCTTTTTTTTTCTGCAAATCCTTTCTTTGCCAGCAAGATTTTCCATCATATTATTTTTACTTTTTTAATAATTTTTTTTTGGATTTGTAGATTCTTTCTTTTATAATTTAATGTTATTTTTCTTTTTAAATAAATTCTTGAAGTACTTTTATAAAAGGGATAGTCTGGTCTAAGTGCTTTGGAGATAGAATTTAACATAGAAGTAAAATAGAATGAATTTATTGAAATAATTAATTGTTCATATGATAATAGTCAAATTGTGGAAATTCTAAGAATTGGTAATTCTTTGTCAATCTTATATTTATTCTTTTTTTGAAATAAGAATTAACTAAATGACTTGTGTAAGTATGACAAATTATTGTATTTATTCTTTTGTACTTTTTTTATTTACTAATGCTTTGTCTAATTGATTTTTTTTTACTAATACATTTTTGTAAATAATAAAAATTATTTGTTTTGTAATATCATTTTATCGATTCCATGTTGATATTCAGTTAATTAGTTATTTACAATTACTTTATTGTTTTTTATTTAATACCTTTCATTACAGAATTTAATTTTATTTCCATAAAAATAATTTTCATAGTTTCTCTTAATCACCAAGAAATTTTTAGAGTGCATTTATTTAATTCAAACAATAATTGTTTGGTATTTCTATTGAATTAAGACTGATTGTAAAATAATGAGTATTTAATTCAAAGTATCTTTCAATATGTATTGTTATAAAAAAATTATGTTTTTTAGTTTAATAATAAAGTTAATTCTTTCTTCATATTTTTGATTACTTATTAAGAATTAAATGAACTTATTTTCAATGTCGTGATTAGTTAATAGTTTCATTTTAGTATAAACAGTGTGAGGTGAATTATCAAAAACAAAACATCAAAAGGTTTTATTAAGAATTTTAATGTGGTAATAATTTTATTGACTCCATGAATAATCAAAGAACTCAACTAACGCAGGCATTGAATTGTATTAAATATTTGTAAGCTTTGGTTAACAAATATAGTAGTTTCTTTAAAGCTAGTAAAATTAAAACATTGATTTAGTAGGGGGTTTGAATTAGTTATCATTTAAAAAAAACTATAATTAATGAAATGTATCAATTTTCTGGTGTTTTATCTGATAATTATTTTGTTTTGTGTGTTTGTTGAATCTTTACTTTAAGTTTAACTTTATAATTTCCTTTTATTTTATAATTTATTTTATCATTGACTATATTATTAATTCATTATATAATTACTTATTTTATAATTATTACATTCTAATTATTCTTTAATATTCAATTTTTCATATTGGTTTTATTTATGTTATTTTTAATTATCATCTCTTCAGTTTTTGTATTATGTTCTTGTTTTTATTACTTTTATTGTATTTTCATTCTTTTGTTTTTGCATTATTCTTTCTTGTTCTCAATATTCTATGGATTATTTTCTTTTAATAAGTTGTTTTAATGTCATAACTATTTTCTAGTTGGTTATATAGTTTTAATTTAAAATCATCAAAATCATCTTATTTCTTAATTGAAAATGTTTGTTGATAATTAATATTCTTACTTCATTTTTTCATTAAATTATAAAGTACATATTTTTATTCTCTACACTATTGAATGTAGAATGTAGTTAGTGTTTAATACAATAAATATAAATAATGATGATATTGTAATATTAATGATTTAATTAATATAAAGGAGGTAAAGTGTTATGTTCATTCTAGTTTTTATAAATACCTTATAATACTTTAATTGTGATTTAATATTGTAAATTTTTCAATTAAAAATAAAAAAGAAATGGATGTAATGGGTTGTTATTTTATATGTTTATTTAATTATGTATATTAAAAGTTTTTATTGAAGAATGTTAGCTTCACTTAGTCAATTTTTTATTCATTTGTTAGAGTATTATTAAATTAGAAATTAAATATAAAGATAAATTATAATATTGAGAGAGAAATGAATAACAAACTATTATACAATTTATTACACATTCATGAATAAACAAAAGTATCATCAAAAAATACATTTCATCATCATACATTTTATGATAGTGATATTCATTATTTTAGTATTATAGTATTCAGATAAATATATTGTTATTGACTTTTTATCATCAATCACACTCATTGAAATTTATTTAATCAACATGAAATAATATTTTATATTGAACATCATTCTAAAACAATGATAAATAATATAAATATTAACATTTTTATTATAATTTATATTGATTTATTGTATATAATGTGATACTTAATAATTTAATATGTAAAATAAAAAAATGTATTAAGAGTTGATGAAATGTATTTTTTGATGATACTTTT